TGTTAATTGAAATTTGCCTAGTTTTAACTACTTAGACACAATTTTCTGCCATAGATTGTCATCATTTAAAGTGTGCCTCAGCTTCTGATGCCATAATCTGCATAGTGTTATTAAATTTATATTTATCGTTTAACTACGTTTTCATGCCCATATCGTTATTAATGGGCTGCAATGCCCCTGACATCTGCAATAATCTATATCCTTATTTCTCTACTGGTAGCTCTAACTGTATAATCCCTTTTGAGATTTTATTCCCACCAAAGAACTACCAGTACATTTTTTTTTCTTTAAAACTTTGTACCGGGCAACGGATTGTGCAATTGTCTTGACTGCAATTCTGCTGTTGTTTAGCAATCTTAGAATTCAAGGCTTTATTTGCAATCTTGGTATACTTACAATAATTTTTCTTGTTCGAAATGTAATTGGATAAGGCATTGCTAAAATGATTGTTGAGGCTACTAATTTTTGAAATATGGTGGGTTTATAGTAACTAAAAACAATTGTTAACAGAATGTGGATGGTGCCTGAATCTAAAGGTATGACAAGGACCACTGCAGTAGAAGCTGACAGGTTAAAGTTAGTTTCAGAAGGTTGTGATCCAAATATTGTAAGTATCTCCACTCTTCTGTTAATTTTGTTTAATAATGCTACTTATTGTTCATGCGGACAGCACTACAAGCACTGTTTTTTTTTCCACTTTTAGTTCAATTTTTTTTCTTTCCTTTGTGTTCCTCTTTACCAATCATACATGTTAATCTGATTGGATGGTTCCCTCTAATTGTATAACAAGGATGTTACGCGCAAATCCAAAGATATTTTTGGCGAAGTGTCTAGGACTCATCATGCCATACAGTGAGTTTTGCTTGTTCTTTATTTTCCATATAAATTGCCCATGGCTGGTCTCTTTATTTGATCTCTGGTTAGCCTGAATGCATAACATCATTGCACATTGGATGTAGGACATTGGATAAAACTATTTCAAATTTAGAGATGGAATTGGCTGCTGCAAGGGCAGCACAAGAGTCTATCCTTAGTGGTTCTCCTCTGTCAGAAGATATGAACACTGGTTCATCTGGGAAAAGGAAATATTTTATGGTTATAGGAGTCAACACTGCTTTTAGCAGCCGAAAAGAAGAGATTCAGTTCGTGCTACCTGGATGCCACAAGGTTCATTAAATGATCCATCGTTTTTTTTTTCTCCAACGATAGAGACTCCATCCATTTAGTTGCTTGTTTGGAACTGATATCCTATTTTTGATTATCTGGAAAACTGAAAATAGGAGAGAAGCGGAAAAAGTTGGAGGAAGAGAAGGGGATTATTGTACGCTTTGTCATTGGTCATGGGTGGGTTCTAATTCCCTTTCAATGTCTGATTTCATCAAGTGTTTGTACAAAACAGTCTTCCACATGCCTCTCTAAGCTATTTGTGCACCAAAACATATAAGCCTACTTGGAGTTCACTCGGAATTCTTTCATGTCAAGCAGTTGGGCTTATGGGCTGAAAGTTGCCATCTCTTGCAGAATGCTTTTACATGATGATGTCTATTGCTAGAAAATAATTTTATTGAATCTCAGGTCCATTTAAATAATGAAAGTATGGGTTACATAGACTTCACAACTGCTCACAAATGCTGATTAAAATAATGAATTGGTATTTTTTTTTATTACCAGTGCCACAGTTGGTGGTATATTGGACAGAGCTATTGAAGCAGAGGACAAAATGCATGGTGATATTTTGAGACTGGTGATACTCGTATCCTGTTCTTTTCCAGTTCTATTGTACACCGTGGCAATGGACAGTGCTATTTTTTATTTCTGTACAATAAAGGTTAACATGTTTGAGTTCATGAGCAGGATCATGTTGAGGGGTACCTTGAATTGTCAGCCAAGACAAAGACATATTTTGCAGCTGCTGTTGCTTTATGGGATGCAGAATTCTATATCAAAGTTGACGATGATGTTCATGTGAATATAGGTAATTAGTATATTTCTACATTGACATTCCCAGGCTTAAGTTCCAAGACTTTGATTCAAAACACGCTCAATTTGCTACACCTTGCAAATACCGACCCCATCAGGAAATGTCAATGTCTGTGTTCATCTAAGTTCTTATCCATATTTGATAATAGTTGTTTCTCGTGAGAGAGAGAATATGTCTAACACCTCCAGTTTTCTGCTTAGTGGTCATATCATTGGATTGCTTGTTTATAAATTATTTTCCTTTTGTCAAGTCCAAAGTAATTTTAATTTCTATTGCAGCCACACTGGGAGAAACTTTAGCAAGATATCGGAGAAAACCACGGGTATATATTGGATGCATGAAATCTGGTCCAGTCCTTGCTCAAAAGTAAGTCATTTTTTTCTTAAATTGTTACGCGAAACTAAAGGGTAATTTACAGTTTACACCCTTAAAGTATGCACCTAATGTCTATATAATTACATCCATCAAGTTTTAACTGAGTTTAATTCAGTCATTCTATCTAGATCTATTAAATTTGTTCTGATAAAAAGACGTTGCAGGACTTGCCCATAAGGGTATATTTGTCCAACAAAACATATCTCTCTATCTCCCTATATTTCTCAAATTCTCACTCTATATTATTTTTTTTGGGTTTGTTATCCTTATGTTTCCTCAAAATCGGATGAAATAAAGTAAGGTTTTTTAGCCTATACATAACAAATTGTTCACTAGACAAATACTCAAGTCATGTGTCGGTCACAAAAGACTATTTTGTCATAATAAATTGGTGAATTTTGATGTTGGAACTAATTTGAAACTCAATTAAAACTCTAAGGATTTGATTGCTGCAATTGGAATTTCAAGGATCAAATAGTTCGTGAATTTTGATGTTGGAACTAAATTGAAACTCAATTAAAACTCTAAAGTTTTAATTGCTGCAATTGGAATTTCAAGGATCAGATAGGAATTAGGTACATCCTTTAAGGTATAAATTGTAATTTACCCTAAACTAAATATTGAGAACCTGCTTTGGCTTATACTATCTTTACTTTTATTCCATGGAACAGAGGAGTGAGATACCATGAACCAGAATATTGGAAGTTTGGGGAGGCAGGAAACAAGTATTTCCGTCACGCTACAGGACAGTTATATGCCATTTCAAAAGATTTGGCTAGTTATATTTCAATAAACCAGTTAAGTTTCATTTTTTATTTGAGGTTAATTAAGAGGATAAGCTATTATCGGGATACTATCGTTGCTTGACACTGTCTCACTGCACTCATGTCATTTTGTTTTTGTAATTGTTTCAGGCATGTACTGCACAAGTATGCTAACGAGGATGTATCTTTGGGATCTTGGTTTATTGGACTCGATGTGCAGCATATTGATGATCGGAGATTATGTTGTGGAACCCCACCAGGTAAACTTGAAGTTGAAAATAATTACCATGCTATTCCTGTTTTGTTGTATTCGATAGGGAAAATGGAAACCTTCTGAATTTGAGTTGATCTAAAAAACGGCATATGATTTATTCTACTTTGGAAAATTGGTATGATTTATCACACAGACCTTGGAAGTAAACTTAGAACCTAGTGGAAAAAGGAAGGATCACTTGAGCTGCTCAACTCAGCAAAGCTTTTAACCCAACTATGGGGTCTTCCTCTAAAACCGTTTCGCTTCAGTTCTGCAAAACTATCTCTTGTTGTCAGGGGATTGAGGCTATGGTTGTCATGGCACAAAGATTGTCATCTACCTTACTAACTCATACTTCATGATACCTTACAAAAAGAAAATCCTCATACATCATGACATGGACTGCAACCAGAATGTAGCTCATACCACTTCAAGTTGGGGTGCGTGGAGCGAAGATAAACCCATATATGACAATTTGTCACATACTGAGTAGGAACTGCAAAGACATATTTTGTGAGTTTGATGCAACTTGTCACAGCAGATTGCGAGTGGAAGGCACAGGCGGGCAACATCTGTGTTGCTTCATTTGACTGGAGTTGCAGTGGGATTTGCAGGTCTGCTGAGAGGATTAAAGAGGTCCATCAGCGATGCGGTGAAGGTGAGAATGCTGTGTGGACTGCTGCCTTTTGAGAATCGACTAGCAATTCCTCCAAACTCAGGAAGGTGATAATGTTGAGCACTTGTGCTAGTAATCTGTTTCATTTACACGAGTACAGAGAATACATATCATATATAGAGGGAAAGAGTTAGAGAGAGAGAGAGAGAGAGAGCCTTGCTATGCAAACCTTCTCCATTTTAGTAGAGAAGCCTGACTGCCAAAGCAGCCAACGCAAGCAGTGGCATCACTACGCAGTTTTTACCACTTGGAGCGCTAAATTGTATCCAGTAGACATTGGGCTCATAATATAACCAATAATTTTTTAGGCCTTTTCTGCACTTTCTCTTCTTGATATATTTTCGCAACGAACCATTTCAGAAATGACATGATGATGATGAAGGTATGCTTTTTTTTTTTTTTTGCTCTCTTTTCTAGATTGGATATCTTATGATCAACTTGCATAATACTGAATGATTCAAAACCTGGTTTTTCTTTATGTAGTTTCATTTCTCTGGTGTCTAACAAATAATATTACACAAGATGACTCCTAGGTTGTCAAAAACTAAAAATACAGTTAATTTTTCTACAGCCTGTAGCCACCATAGTTTCACCAATGCTGCTAGTTATGCTACCAGGTGAGGAGCTGGAGATAAACTATGTTGAACAGAACAAAGCTATTTAACATTATTTATCTGAGGCTCCTCGTTGCAATATGTATGGTTGATATATGCAACTTTACATTCTCATGCTGAAAAATTGTTTTTATAACTCGAATCATGACATCTGATGACAATAGAACCTCTTTACCGCTGCTTTGAGACTCTCCTCAACTGCTTGAAAACAATGATGTAAAATTCAACATCTGCTATTTGTTTTATGTCTTGTACATCACCAGATATTAAAGAATCTGAACTCGGCATGATATCCAAAAGAGAATACAAATAAATTTAGGACGAGATACAACTATGTCTATGAATGTAGCAGGTACTATCCTACATGTATCTGCAAATATTCTCCTAAAAATAGTAGTATGTCTGAACAACCAAAAGAACTTCTAGGCAACTTCAAAAAAAACAAGCAAGCAACTATAGAATAAGATGGTACAATAGGTTGATAGGAGGGCAGATGCTACATGATGAAGAACCAGAAATTTTCTCTCTTTCCTAGAGGTGAAGTGGATCAAAATTTCGTTTCAAAAAGGTTGAAACACCAGAAATATTTTTGTTTTCAAAAGAAAACAAAACGAACCAGTGATTGAATTGAAATGTCAATGTTTCAAGGTGTTTTGGAATATCCCGAGGTGTTTCGAGATATTCAGGCATATTTCCATTATTGATTCAAAATATTTTGGTATATTTCAAAATATTTTGAAAATAAATTCTCAATTTTTGTTCGTTTCCATTATATTTTCAAAATATTTACAAAACATTTTTATTTCTTCGGTGACTAAAACAACACACCAAAACAAATTTTTGACCCTTAGAGGTAGGTACTAGCAAAACCTTGATGATTTATCATAAATAAATAGCCAGAAAGGGGCATTGATCTAGTTGTTTTTTACTGTGTATACTCAGAAACTGTTTTCTTACATTGAGCCATAATCAAGAACTTGGACAAATTTAGAGATGACCTTACCATTTAGTTAACAAAAACACCAAAAGAGCACTTCATTAAAGGAAAAACGTAAAACATAAATAGCAGCTACCTTTAATTGGTTGTTGGGTCCGAATGCTATAAGTTATGGGAGAAGTAACACGTGATATTGGCACGGCTCAATCAAAAAGTAGGACCCAGAGCATTTCGAGAACGACTTTCTCATTGAACTGCACCAATATCCCGGTATAACTAATTATAACTCTGACCGACCACCACGGCACCACCATGTTAGGTTTCGATATCTTTCGATGGTCATCTGCTTCTGTGTTTTTTTAGGGGAAAAAAAAATAGGGTTGTAAAAATTGAAACTTGAGACATTCACTCCTCAAATAATCAGAAAAATCAACAAAGAAAACAACAGAGAGGTTTCTTCAGTCAGAGGAAAATGTGAAGATGAATGAAGAAAGAAAGAAGGGGAGGGGGGGGGGGGGGGAATTGACATGCAGGTGTTTGTTGTGGTAAATGGTTATGTGATGTTCAAAGACAGCTCATGTCTTCTACTCTTTGTGTGTGTGTGTGTGAGAGAGAGAGATGCAAATGGAGGCATTGAAGAAGTTGCATTAAAATTTTCAACTACTCAACAATAAAGGAAGTTGGAACATTAATCTACGAAGTTACACGAATCGTGAAAAAAGCAAAGGGAGACAAAGCTGGAGCTTTTAATTTTTGCATTTATTGGCTATGGAGGAGGGCAGAGGATGTTGGTTCTGTCTCATCCAACCATTCAAAGTTTGAAACTACTAAATCAATTGGCGCTATTTTTTTTTTTTGTGGTTTTTTCTTTATCCTTGTTCAAAGTTATGTAATGATACATAAAGTGATAAAGTCTCAACGAAGAAGCTCAATGATTATAGTAAGAAACAATACTATTAGATCATATTCTTGTCACTAGGCTTATGAACGAATCAAATATGGACCGGATTGACTTATATCTGAATCTGAATCCAATTAAGTTTTTTGTAGATTCGATCCGATTATTCGATGAATTTAAAAAATTTAATCTATGTCTGAATCCGTTAATTTTCAGATATTTGATCCAAAAATCCGATTCAATCCAATTATCACAAAAAAACACATGTACACCAATAGAGAAAAACTAAAAAACAAAAAAAATGGGTCATGCATTATAATATTCGCTCTATTTTTTTTTTATCTTTCGGTATAAGCATAATATATGTATGATATTTATTTACATAATATATTTTTTATTTGTATCGGATTAATATAAATCTATATCCGAATCTATTTAGACAATTCTAATCGGATTGAATTAATAGATTGAAAATCTGATCCATATCCGCTTAAATAGATTCAGATTTAAATCAAATTCAGATTGAAATTCGGTCCATTAACAGACCTACTAGTCACGTCAAATCAACAAATTGGGTGAGTTTTTTCCCGGATTAATAAGCACAAATTTATCACACAAAATGTAACTACTCATGTAACATCAACGCAGATCGCTCAACGGAGTTTCACAAGAAAGTTTAGAAGGCCGAGATACTCAAGTCCATATACCACCTCTAAAAAGGTCTAACTTTTGAAGGAGTAGATGTAGAGATGGAACTAGACTCTTACCTGGTGGGCGAGGGGGCCACGGATGAAAACTCATATAAACGAGGTTAATTATATTTTTACTTTTTAGATTTAAATCCACAATGCCAAAAATATAAATAAATAAATAAACAAATGAAAAATATATGGAGCATAAATAAAGATATTGACAAAAAAAAAATGAAGCGAAAGAATATTACATATTCACTCCATCGTCTATCACAGTGGTGTTCGACTGTTTTTTTCTATCATGGAATTTATTTATGGTCGAAAGCAACTTTTTTTATGGACACAAACAAAGAACCTAGGAGAAAATTAATCTATACACCTTGTTTGGAGGTCAGTTTTCACAATATTTGTGGTAATATAAACAAAATCTGTAGTTGTAGTGAAATGAAAAGTATAGACTATGTTAATCGAAGAATTAAAATAGAAAAAAAAAACCTAATGTAATTTTATCAGTAGAAGAATCATTTATATCTAGAAGTTGAGAAGTTGTCTTGGGAGTAGGACTGATAATTGAACTAAGTTATTCAAGTTCGACTCGTTTTAGATTCGTTTAGGCTTGACTTGTTTTTTAAACGAGTCAAACTTGAATAATTTTTTAAACTCGTATAAAAAACGAGTTCGACAAGTTCGGTTGAACTTAACCGACTCGATTCGTTTATGTGTAAATGTTCAGACTCGACTTGAATTTGACTCATTTTGAATTCATTTAAACTTGACTAGTTTTTAAACAATTTTTAAATTCGTTTGAAAAAATAAATTCAATAGACTCGACTCAAACTCATTAAACTTCGTTCAATTGGTAACCCTTATGGACTCCAGTATATACGTGGTGGTGTTTGGATTAGGGGGTATTATAGGTGAGATTGGATTAAAATAGTGAATAGATCCACTTATCCTTGGTTTGGTTGAACAAAGTCGAATGAGCTCCTCGGTGGGATTCAAAAACTCGTCGTTGTCTTGCAGAGTGGATAATCCTTCCCAGGCAGGATTATCTCAACCCATGTGAATGGAGTAGGAGTGTCAATTGTGTTGGGTTAAATAGTTACGTGTCGGGTTAAATAGGTTCTTCCCAGGCAGGATTATCTCAACCCATGTGAATGGAGTAGGAGTGTCAATTGTGTTGGGTTAAATAGTTACGTGTCAGGTTAAATAGGTGACAGATGAAAAACGTATAAACTCATATACGATACGTTTAATAAACGGGTAAAAAATCTCAACACAAACACAACCTGTTTAATAAACGATAACACAACACGACTCGTTTAACCCGTTTAATTTAAAAAAAATTATATCAACAAATTTTAATACTCTATTTTTTTTTACTACTAATTGAACTTACCTCAAAAAAGAGAAATTTTAAATCAAATTTCATAAAAATAAGACTTAAATGCTTTAAAAAAAAAACAAGAGACTATTGTTTTTTATAGGTAACTCACCCTGCCCATCTTCCCTCATTTTTCAATGTGGGACAAAAATAAAAGACATTGTCTTTCAAGTGATTTACAACTCCTCTACTTTGTTTTTGAAAAATAAGACTCGAAGGTTTTAAAAATAAAAGCAAGAGGTCATTGTCTTTTATAAGCAACTCAATCCTCTCCATCTCCTCTCATTTTCTAATGTGGGACAAAAACAAAAGACATTTATTTGTATTTGCCTTTGAAGTGCTTTCCAACTCTTCTCCTTTGTCTTTCAACTACTACTTTACTTTTTTTTTATTGATTTCTTTACTTCTTTTTTCTTACTAATTTTTTAAAATAATTATTAATTTATTATTATATTAATTTTATTTAAACGGGTAAACGTGTGATAAACGATTTGACAAGTCTTAGCCGAACACGATCCGTTTATTAAACATGTTTGACATGTTAACCCGTTTATCATCCAAATCCGTTAAGATCTCACCCAAATCCGTTTAATTCGTGTTAGTTAACCGTGTCGTTTCGAATTTTGACAGTTCTAGAATGGAGGATTCAAAATCTAGTGAAAGGATACATAACTAAATTACATAAACACCCTTAAACAGTTGGATGTTTGAGACCCTGCGCATCAGAGGATGAGACCCTCCAAGGCAATGGTTGGATGGGAGTCATACTTGTTTGAATCCAATGTAAAAACCAACAATTTTTCTGGGTACTTACAACCAATTATTTGATGTATGGAAGGGAATTAATTGAGGTTGGATTGAATTTCACTGGTCAAAAGGAATCTCAGAAATATATAATGAAAACAGAGCCTCAGACGATTGCACTTACAACCTTCTCTGTTCTTGGCTCTCCCTCATTGGTTTTGATTTCTCTGCTTTTCCTTGATGTGCTGAATAGAGAGGTTGGGACTCTCTTCTTCGGATCTCAGAATTTGATCTCCTTGATCAAAGGATTTGGGAAGACTTCATCTGTCCGTTGGAATTCCACTCTCTCATTTCCCATCTGAATCACAGGTTTACCAAGGCTGAAAATTCGTGTTCTACCAAGCCATCTTTCACTCTACATTTTATACACAAGCCAACCCACCACCAGAACCACACCTTTCACTCCAGCCCATCACTCTCTTAAACCAGCTTCCCACCACCATTTTTCCACTTTCTCTGTCGAAGAGTGGACTCACAAGAGTGAGGGGAGGGGAGAGAAGTTTTGGGTCTTTAGCAATGGCTGGGAATGGAGTTTTTGCTGAGATAATTGATGACGATGTCAGAGGTGTTCAAGTTCCAAATGCTTCTCTCTCTCTATCTCTGTCTCAATGGTTTCTCTGTGAGTGATGGTGAAGCCGAAGCATCTAGAACCAAATGAGTATTTTAACCAAATTAAAATATAGTTTATACCTTAGTGATTCGGGTTTTTTGCACCCGACCCCCATTATTTTGAAATTAACACATAACTCCCTTATACTTTTGAATTTAATTGTTACCGTTACAAATTATCTATCAATTGACAAAATATAGCATGCAAGCGTATGATTTGAGAGTAAGTGTGTGAAAATATTCGGTCTAAGTCAACTTTGAATAAAATTATTTGGGTCTCATTAAAAAATCATAATTGTTCTGTGGTATTAGGCCTCATTAAATCTTAAATTTTTAAGATCTTCAAAATTTTATGTTCATCCATTTGTTTCCTTTTATATGAACTCTTAATCAAATTAACATTTTAAGTATAGTAACATATTTTAAATTTACTTGATTTGTATTATTAATTCAGACAATAATATTAAAATGCCCTAAAAATCATGGAAAATAAATTGCATTTGGATCATTGAAAAAAATTTAATATGGTTCAGATTAATTTTGCTACTTATTAAAAAAATACAGTTAACTTTTATTTTTAAACACACAACTAAGGATTTTAAAGAAAGAAACAAATAACGATTTACGCTTGAGTTGTATCGATTTGTGTATTGTTGTTCTGTTGATTTTTTTTTTTTTGCATGATGCATATGATTTTTTGTGATTAAAAGTGTATTGTACAAATTAAATTAAATAATGAACAAACTATTTATTACAATATTTTTGTAAAAATGTATAATTTATTGATTCATATTTTTTTTTCGTAAATAAGACAATATTAATGGATTGAATTTTTTTTGCATTCCATTCCAAACATGATATAGGATTGAATAACATTTTTTTACACAAAGGTGAAATGGTCATTTAAGTTTGTTTTATCTTCACATGTGAATGAGACCCACAAACCAAATGAAACCTATTCAAAAATGGGATAGGATTTAAATTCGAACTTTATAATCTTTCAATCTGGATCACATTGCATTGGATTGAATTGGGTTTGGATTCAAATTCAATTCAATCCAATCCTTCCATGGTGATCCAAACACCACAAGAGTTTTAGAAATTGAGAGAGGGAGGGAGAAACCATTGGTGCAATTTACTCTATTATTATCATTTTGTTAAGCTAATTTATTTGAAATTGTTTTGGATATTTGTTTTTTTTCTTTTTAAATCTATTTGAAGTACAAAAAAAAAGTAAAGATAATTGTATGAGCAATTCTATTAAGACTTAATTTATTGAACTAATTTACTGATTTAATTCATTATGACCTTTGAATTAACTATATGTTTCTTAAAACATTGAAACTTGATATTGATTGAATGGTTTTAATTAAGACACATCATTAGGTCAGCAAATCAAGTCAAATTTTTAAGTCCAAATATAATTAGTCTAATTGTATTAAGTCTGTTAACGCCACAGTTTCTGACAATATAGGGGTCTCTTTGCAATTTTAATAATGATTAGAGGTGTACATGTTATCTAATCAAATGTTAGGGGATGTAGGTGAAATTTACCCTTGTTTTTTTCTTCTCTTTCCGTAGTGGGCACTTCGTCCTTCTCTCGCTTCGCCAAGGTAAGCAATGTTTTTTCTTCGCTTATTTGATTGGTTTGTTTGTGATTGAGCCCTATTCATAACCAACAAACCCTAATTCGATCACCACATATATGCGCTTTCTCTTTTGTAGCCTGTGGGAAGTTGTAAAAAGTTTAGGCATGGCCAAGACCTCCTTCAAGTTGGAACACCCTCTCGGTTCGTTTGTCAATTGCAAAACTTTTTTATATTGTGTAATGTCTGATGGATTGGCTTAATTCAATGAAGTTTTTAATGGGTTTGCTGAAATTTGTGGCTTGTGATCTGGGTTTTTGTTGTAATTACTGTTTGCGCTAAGGAATTGCATAGGAAAAAAATTGGAATTTGAAAAGTTTTTCTGCGGAATTGCATGAACAAATTTTTCCGGTGTGAAAAATGTATATTTTAGATTATAGTTTGTCGGTAAAGAAGGAATCCAGATTCCTTTCAATATATTTTTTCTTCAATTCTCTTTTTAACAGATCATTTATCATGCATTCAAGTGGATCTCTCACTCACATTCTTAGTAACGGTGTATGATCCGCCATCACTCACATTCTTATTAACGGTGTATGATCCACCAAGAAGAAAATTAAAGAGAAAATATATTCATAAAAAGGATTTTGTTTCAGAATTTGAGACTCAGGCCTAGGTAGTCTGTCTTTTAGAACAAATTAACAATTTGGGAAAGAACCAGCTCGAGCCAATGACATACCCATTTTATAATAAGCTTTTATTCCATTTTATTGAATTTTTTATTTTTTTTTAAATTGTGGTTTCATGATTTTGGTGTGTTGATCTTGTAATATCCCTTTTATTTATAGTATTTATGCTAGAGTGTGTTCTTTTCTCATGCCAGAAAGGAGGCAGGCAGAAGCTGCTCGTATTAGGGAGAAATATCCCGATAGAATACCTGTATGGATTTCTTCCCATGGTGGTTGTGTGTGTGTTTGTTGCTCTTGAGATCAAATCTTAAAATTGCTGTGGAATGCAGGTTATTGTTGAAAGGGCTGAAAGGAGTGACATGCCTGACATTGATAAGAAGAAGTTAGTCTCATTACTAACTGCTTTTTTGTAATTTTTAGCATTCTTTGTAGGAATTCAATATTTGATATGCTTTAGAGTTAGAAATTCTATGGTCTACCTTGGCATTGAACCTTTTTGGACCTATTATAATAAAACACTGTCATCTCTTGCATTAGCATCTGTGTATTATTTGAATAGGGTATTTCATGGATGCTTGAATTTCGTTTTGTTGTTTTGTTTGCAGTTTGGGAATTGAACTAAATTATTGTATTAATGAACAACATAGACTTCAAAGCTGATCCCTTTGTTAGTTCCATTCCTAGGCTTGTTACTGTTTGCTTCAAAACATTTGAATTTCACTGGACAGATTTTCACTTCATGCAATAGCTCAACTCCAAGTTACAGCTTCATATATTTAACAATCTAATAACACTCCGATAATGGAGTTTTTGTGATATATATTTGTGTATTAATAGCCACAGTTTTGAATTTGATGCCGTATGTCTAGGATTCAATTTCCTGCAGTTTCCACCACATTGGGTATTGGCAAGTAGTGATTTATGAACTTATGATATATCTTGAGAGTTCCTATATGATCTCCTTTTTCTCTCAAATTTTTTTTTTCCCCCGGAATGGGCAGATACCTGGTTCCTGCTGATCTGAGTGTTGGCCAGTTTGTGTATGTGGTACGAAGGAGGATTAAGCTGAGTCCTGAGAAGGCCATATTTATATTCGTGAAGAATATCCTACCACCAACAGGTGAGACTCAATACATATGCTTCCATTCTTGTTCCTAGAGCAATTCTCAATTGTTGTTGCCATAGAAATCTCATTGATATTGCAGCGGCTACGATGTCTGCAATTTATGAGGAAAACAAGGATGAAGATGGTTTTCTTTACATTACCTACAGTGGCGAGAACATGTTTGGGTTGGTCTAAGACCAGTCAGGCCGAATCTGTCAGATTTGGAAAATGGAAAAACGTGAAATATCTAGATCGGTTGTAAATTCTCTTTTGACCTTGCTAGTTTATTGCTCTATTAACGTTGTCTTGTTTGGACAAAATTCCACCAATTGAGATCTCAAGGCTATTTTATTTTTCAGTTAATATGCTGCAAATAGTTTTACTTTGGAGCTTCATATCTTATTGAAATGAAGAGAGTTGATCATATTGTTATACTGTTATTGTTCCTACGGCACAGAAGTCAAACACTTTATTTCTAGAATGAAAATGAGGTATGAAGCCTTATTAATGATTTGATAGTGGATTGAATTATTCATCGATTGAAAATGAGAGTTTCGCGTGGATAGAAAATTGCAGTTTCTTTGGCATGAGAGATGCAAACATGCTGAGCCGTGTATGACTCTTGAGACCTGTTTTTGGTAGAATTTTGATCAGCTTGACCTGTTGGTGAATCGATCTCCTTCAGTTTTGATATGTAAGTGGTCAATTTGAGCTCAGTCTATGAGTTTTTCCTTTCTTGTTAACTAGAATAATCTACAAGGCTCTTGCTTAGTTTCTGGTGGGCACCGTCCTCGCTCCGATATCCCACCTTCGCACTCCATCCCTGCCTTTCACTCCGGCCATCTTGCTCACTTACTCAACTCGGAGTGAGGTTTATGATCAAAAGGCCAAAAAACAAATGAGTAACAGAACACACAAATTTATGTAGTTCGACTCGACACACAAGCCTACTTTCACTATTAAAGAACGGTGATTACAACGTTCTCGAAAACAAAGGCAAGAAAATGTGTATTTGCTTTATCACTATTACAATATTAATAGTGTCAAAAAGTCTTCTTTCCACCAACATTAATTTTCCCCTAAGAAGACCCAAAACAAGCAAGGAACAAGATCCCAAATTTCCCAAGCACCTTGGCAGTAAGGTATCAAAAGTCCTAGTCAATGTTAGACAAAGTTAAATAGGACATTAAGTCCAAGAAGAAAAAGTCTTCACCAAGCTATAGACTTGTTCCCACAATATGAAGGCTTTCAATATTTTAATCTCAAAAAATACCAGCAAGCCTATCAGGCTATCCTCCAAGGATTGCCCCCCAAATCTTCTAAAACAGACTTGGATGCAAAGAAGATTAAGAATACAAGTCATTATAACACCAACACCTCTTGGCTGTGAAGGTACAACAATCAGATTAGTACATGAATCTAGGGAATGACCAGATGTAAAGTCCCTGCCAAGATTCGAGAGGTAGATATCTACATACGAGACCCAGGTTTGCTACCTCAAGATGACATGAACCATAGCCAGACCCCGATTTCACCAAACAATCAGAAGCTATTCAGCTTCAAATCAAACTTGGAATATAACCCTTTTGAGCCAAGGATAGACACCAGTGCGAAATACAAATAACATATATCAAATGAATTAACTGGGATTAGATCAATTGAAGCTAAAATGTTTTTGTGTATGCATAAAACTAGAACAGGGCAATTCTTCTAAATCAATACAGTTCAACAAGAGAACCCATAGATTCCATGAGGAACGATAAAAGTCCAGACAATTCATTTAGATGAGCGTTTTTTCTGGTATTGGTTCTTGATCCATTTTACACCCACAGAAGTTCCACTCTTCACCTTCTGGGCTCCAACAACCGCTGCTGCCTTCGCCTTGTCGAATCCTGCAGAAGCTACTGCCTTCACCTCTTCCATCTTGCTGCTGCTGTTTCCTAGTCTTTTCTTGTTGGTCATGGTTGTGTCGTCATCACGTTCATCGCCATAGCCACCCCTACCCCATTGATCAGCCCAAGTTGGTGCCTTGCTTCCCATAGTTTCCTGAAAAACATCCAAAATGCAGACAAATTTGAAATTGTTCAAAGAGCAGTAATCAATAGAAAGTTTTAAGTAGTGTTTTGCAGGAACTCTTGATTATGAACTTTAAGTGTTTTCTCGCACATACAATGAAAAATCCCAAAGAAGAGGAGGTAGGAGGTGAGTATTAAGGACTATTCTCTAAAATGGCAGGGCCGTAAGAGGCTCAAGTGTTCTAAAAGGAAACACACAGACTCCTATTGTGAGAAGATGCGATCTTACACATGGTTTAACGTTGCGGAATACGCATAGGAGTTAGATAAAGATGATGCAATCAATTCAGAATAGTCAACCAAGAGTTCATTGAATTGACCATGTGAGATTACTCATGGTTTTCGACTCGGTTGTATCCGACTCGCCCGAATCTTTGAACACTAAATAGATGTGGACCACAAGGCGTGGTGATGACAATATAATCTATTCCTTTTTTTTTTCTTTCAACAAAATCCATTCCTTATTTGAAGGCATAAATTTTGAACAAGAGATAATGCATTTGACATCATTCTTAGAACACAAGATTTAAACCGACTAAATTTGAAAGAAAAGCCAAGAGAGAGAGAGAGATAAATACAAGTGAACAACTTTGATACAAACCCTTCTTAAATCTCTCAAAAAGTCAATTTCAAATTAAACTACGTTGCACACAGCTACAAGCACAGATAGACACAATACAACATTTGGCCTACCCCAGATGCGGTGAAACATCAAAAAGCCCAGATTCAGCACACCAACGAGAGAGAGAGAGAGAGAGAGAGAGCCTCTTGACTTTTTCGGATTCGTGGTATCGAGGATTTGTAGCAAGTGAGTTGAGCCCGGAAGAGATGATGGTCTTGGGACTCGAGACTAACATTTTTTTTTATTTTTAATCAAATCCTAACCACTTAATCTAACAAATTCAGGGACAGAAAAGATATATAAGCTAACACACACACTCGGAGCTAACCAATATGGGATAGCCCAATCCCTTGACACCCCCACGTGATTACCATGACGATAGGGCCTCGGACCTAAAGCGTGGGATTTCAACCCAACACAGAATGCTCCTTATGAAAACGATTGATTTTTTTAATCAAATCCTAGCCACCGAATCGAACATATGTAGGGCCAGGAAAGAAAATTATTGTATTAATAGGTTTGGTTAGCTGACGTGCGCATACGTTGTTGTATTAAATTGTTGCCGCCTACTAGTTTTGGGCCTCACTGACTCATCCTTTTCATGCCCTGTAATTCGTAAGCAAGCAGAAAATTGCTCTAAGCCTCAAAGTAAACCCTTTTATGTCACTACATTGTCAGCACCATGGTCGGCCCAATAGTAGATTAAAGATTAAAACGTATTATAAGTTATAACTTAACTTAGCAAAAAAAACTTTTGAAAGATTGAATCAATAAAATAAAATTTAAAATTTAGGTCTAAAAGTGAAGTCCATCTCATACATACACATTTATTAAAAGATAGAAAAAGAGTTAACACTTCAATAAAAAAATATAATAAACATCTTTCTCTTCCACAAATAAAAATAAATTAAACACATTTTATACTTCTCTCAAATTCGATTTTGTTCTCATTTAAACATAAAAACACCAAATGATTAAATTGCTCATTCTCATAAATGATCCACAATAAAAATTAATTACTATTAAAAAAAAATTCAAAAAAATTGTTATCAAAGAAAATAAAACACATCGAAACAATAGATGAACGTTGCATATATAAACAAGTTAAGGATCATAAAAAAATTAAAAATAATAAAATAATTCAATAACAAGAAATTATAAATGCATATTAAATATAATACCACAAATTTCATGAAGAACATACAAAATAAATAAGAAAAACATAAAAATAGTAATGAAATAATATATTATATTTCGAAAAGTGCTATTCAAACAAGTGATGAAAGAAACAAACATATATGCAAATTTGTTTGCTAAAAAAAGTGTACTTAGCTATGATAATCTATGTATACTTTCAATTTCTATGGATTTTATTATTGAACTGTCGCGTTCAAATAGTATGGGTATGAAATAACATATATGTAATGTTTATTATATGTTAAACGCCTAAATTACTAAAAAGAAAAATTATGTGATATCAAGTTGTGACATTGAGTATTTTTAGTATGACAGTACCTTATAACGATCCACACATTAGTTTTGATAAATTAAAAAATACATAAAATATAAATTAACACACACACACACACACATATATCTATATAATAAAATAGAACGAAGTTTGAATCCAAAAGACAAAGAGAGGTTCAGATCCTTTTGAGACAAAACATAAACAAATCCAACGGAAAATGTAATCTCAATATAAAAGACGGTTTAAATCATCTCAAAAGTTTTGATCTAACGATTTACAGTTAGTTCTGAATTTCTTTTTCCACTCATGAAGAAGCCTCTTATCATAAGACTCTAAACTCCTATCTCTCATATGTCTCTATCTTAAATTTAAAAAGTACAATAACAATTCATATTGAATTCATTTTAAATTAAATGATATATATGTTATATGTTAAAAATGTATTGTTTGTATCTTGATTTAGGTTGATTTTGTTTAATTTCTAATTTTATGATAAAAATTTGCATAAAATTAAAAATATTTCTATTAAACACACATAAAATACATAATATCTCTAAGTTTAGTTAATTTTTTTCAAAGTTTGACAGTTTAACATTTGACCTCAATAACCGCATACACATCGTCACTACAATAAAAAATCAGTATCCAAATGGACAATGTTACCATTTTTAGACATGTAAGTTATTTAGTATATCAATTTTTTCAAAACCTTTGGTATAATATTTCATTAAAAACTATTATATACTTACTATATAATTTTTCATCTTTTGTTATTACAAACTGATTCATACCTAGAGTATATTATAAGTAAATCTTTTTATCACGCATCTTAGTACCGATGGTTGATGTTTAGTTCTTACCTTTTATCAATCAAAGAAGTTTAAATTGTCTTTATAATCCATAAATAAAATTATCAAGTTATTATTCATACCAAAAAATAAATCACTACTGTATGAAAACCTATAGTTTTCAAAAAATTAAAAAACAATTCAAAGATTAAGTTAATCAGCAATTAAAAAAAATAAAGTGACGAATACAAAAAAAATAAGATACCAATTGCACCAACAAAAAATGTTCAAAATCAATCTAATCGCTTTATGTTGAAATTATTCAAACATCCTATTTTTGTGTGTTAAAATTTTATAAGTAACATAGTGCCTTCAGACACGGGCAAATGACTAGTATATATATATATATATATATATATATATATATATATATATATATATATATATATATATATATATCCTTTAATCATTGTGTGTCATTCAGTAATCAATTTGTCTTACTTAATCGATTTATGGATGAAGACTCGACAATGAAGGACGAGCAGAGACTACAACCGTTAAGATATGAACAAACAATTCGATCCTTCGAATAGAAGGAGTCATAGTAAGGCCGACCCTAGGGCCCAACCATTAAAATAGTTGCCCAGAGCCCCAATTTAATTTTTAGCCCTTAATTGAACTTCATGTTATGAGAACCTTTTGAATAGACCAAATTAAAGGTCAAATATATTTTACAAGTCTATCTAAAACTTTATAAAAACTCTAAAATATAACAATATTTTCACAAGTTTATGTAAAGTCTTATATAAAGTCCTAAAATATAACAAAGTCTTTTAAAAAAAATCTAAAAATAACGATTTTTAGCGTTAAAAATAGCAATATCTCCCAAATTCTCTTCACTATTTTTTCCTCCACTCTCACCGCCTCTCTCCAACTTTTTTTCTCCCTCCCACCCGCATTGTCTTGGTCTAATTTTTGTCCTTATTCTAGCTCTTTTGCAGTCTCTTTAAGACTTCATTCAATTTATTCATCTGTAAGATCTTAACTTCACAATTGCATCTAATTTATTATCCGATCTTGTCTGATCCCAAAATCACTAAAATATTGAAAATAAATAATTCCACAACTCTAATAATTGTTTACAAAAATTATTATCTTCATAAAATATTAAATAAAGTCTTATGTGAAATTCTCGCTTTATGCACTAATTTGTGTTGGGTTACCCTTGGTCAACACAACAAATTGTATTGGATTATCCACTAATAGAGCCAAAAGTCAGATTAGTCCAATAGGTCTCAACTGTCAAACAATTTACCCTAACTAGTTAAGCTTCTTTGGATTAAAGACAAAAACATAAATTAGAGATATGCACAATTTACTATAAACGACATACATATGATCAATCGATGGCTTGGGAGTTCGAGATAGAAAACCCACATAAATACCCTAAAAAATGTTAACTTAATTTGACATTTGATTGAAATCGGTTAAAATTAGAGAATTTAAATAAGTCGTACTTAAATAAAACATAATGGTATTGTTGTATAAAGAAAGCATCACATACATTTCATCCAGAATCAAGCTCACAATAAGAACGCATAAGAACTCTCTCCTTAATGGTGCTAACTGCTAAGTACTTAATAGTCCTGTGAGAGAAGATGATATATAACAATGGTCTATGAGATGTGTATCTATTGGTAAGACACTTAAACTTAGATAGATGACAAAATCCCTTCGATTATAGGACTCAATCCTGTTGGACCAAAACATATTTTTAAGTGTAAAAAATTAAATTTTGGTCAACTTTGAACCTAAATTAAAGTGGGACCTGATTGTTATTTTGAATAAAATTTCATGGGTTCATATTCTACTCTGTGAGGAGAATAATTTAGTATATTCACTTGCTCAAATTGAGTAAAAAATGAATGAGAAAATAAACTCCAAAGTGACCCCCTGAGATGTGAAAATAAAGGTTATACGGTGTAGAATTTGACACCAATTCCACATTAGTTGAAGAAGAAATTCAGCATGGGCATATATAGGCCAAGTTTCTCCTATGGGATTGAGCCCCAAGGGGTATCACAGTTTTATGAGCGAAGCGAGCACCTACATGCCTTCGGTTCAATCATGCGCGCGCGCCCTACCTTGCCACGACCACAACCACGACGGGCTCAGGTACGGGTACGGGTTAGAGCAAACCCTATCTTTTTGGAAAAAAATCTAATTAATTAATTGAGCGAGAATTTTTAAACCAAAATTTAATTTTCGGTATCCGTTGGATCGCACTAGTTTAGATGTGTTGTTTCCCTCCAGTTCGAAATTGAGTTGCGACTGTTCATAGAAAATAGTTAC